CGGGGCGGCCGCCGCTCCCCATTGGCTCCCCCGGCGGCGCCGCGCCCCCCGCCCCGGCGGCGGCGGCTAATCACGGGCCCGGGGTTCTCCATCAGCCGTCGGGAAGGCGAACCAGGCGAAGGTCTGGGCGCGTCGGGCAAGTTGCGTGCGGTGAGCGGCGAACGGCATCCGCTCGCAAACCTCTGCAGTGGTCCTTGTACAGGTGCATTATTTCAGCCTGTTTAAATTTACCTTCGTTTTCTCCTCTCGCCAGGTTCCGGTTTCCCCTTCTCGACTGAAATCAGCGCCAGTTTTTCTCCATCGCTACTGTTCTGCCTTTTTCCACCCGGGGATTTGTTTTGCCGTGTAAATCCATTCATCGTCCAGATGCAAGCACGCTGTTGTATCAGGTCTCCTCGTTACATTGCCCTGATAAATCATTAGCAAGAAAAACCAGTGCCGCTGAGAGAAACACTCCATTACAAGGTGGAGTAATCAATTCTTCGTTTGAAGTTCAAGTGTCACCTGTCTTTTTTTTTTTTCTTTTAGTTTTAATGAGAAAAATAAAATTGATTGACTTGTTAACAGCTTGAAACTAAGCGATCCCTCTCAAGTACCTGCAGAAGAAGCAGAACGAAAACAAAGGGGTTGGCCACCTGCCTTTTAGCCAAGAGCCGTGGTTAGAATGTGCATGGAGCATCATATGGCAGCCATAAGGCCCCATTTTCCCTCTTTACCTGGGGACATTTGAACTCATACCTCTTCCTCTCCCACATCGTTATTTTGACAACAAACTACAGTATCCCTGGAGCAGGAGAGGTTACATTCTACTGTTGGTACAGTTTCAAAAGCTTTGTTGTGCTTAAACAACTTGTACTAATTAAATAATTTGTACAAATAACCGGGGCAGGAACTCAGCTGGGTTTTCTCCCAGTCACATGTGTAAACCACCAAATTAGGGAGGCACACCCACTTGTTTATATGCTATATTCATGTGTATTTAAACAGTTTGTAAAAAGTGTTATAGTTCCACATGGAAAGATTGGAAATATGGCCTTTAACAGCAGATGCCTGTGTAAATCAGAAATTCCAGTCCACCTTACAGAGTATGCTGCCTGGGTACTGAGTAACATAGGGAAGAAACAGGTCAGAATTGCTCTGTAACTTAACTTTTCCCTGTTTCTTTTCCCCACTGTTCTCCAGCACTTTTCCCAGGTGTCTTTAATCATTAATGGATGATGGGAGCAACCCACTACAGCTTCACTGTGTACCATCCATTCAGAAGGAGAAAACAGAGCTATCTCTCCACTAATACAGACAAAATGTCATCCAAAGCAAAATAATGCACATGTGCAGTGATTTATTCCTATGCCATCCAAAAAGTTTAGATTAGTCCCATATCTCATTCCAAACCAAAGTAACTTGGGGGGAGGGGGATTAGATTTTTTTATTAGTTCTATTTCTCCCTTCCTCATTTGGTTATATTCCTTTTCCATTTTGTCTCCCTATTTTCAGACTTGCAGGATAATTCAGGTTGAAATTCTCAGGTGGTCGTCAAATAAAACCCTCTGCTCCGTTAGAGCAGGCAGCTGAAGACTTTGTCAAGTTCAGAATGTCTCTGCAAACACAGATTCCTTCATCTTCCCAGGAACCCTTTGCTGGTTCTTCCCCTGCATATGCATAAGCTCAGTTCTAAAACTGTCCCCACCCTATTTCCACAGTCACTCCAGTTTCTTTAAATTTGCAGCTAGGAGACAGCAACAACAATTCCATGAGAGCAGTAGGAGCCTGGTAACAGCAAGAGAGGAAGTCCAGTAGACTTGAAGAGGAAATTTTCCCTGGATTTATGGGAAGAGGAGAAGCAATCCCGTTGACACTTAATTTCTAGTTGTCTACAACTAATGAGCAGTATGAAGAAAAAGCAAAATTTTAGCAGTGAGACAGCAAGAGAAAGAACTGGTATAGCCAATAACTTATTTGCAGATGCCCTTTTTGCTCAATTGAACCAAATTCAGGTTCAATGGAAACATTTCACTTCCAGGTGAAATCATTCAGGGAAGTTGCTGATGGGTAGAAGGTTGCTCCCTTTCTTCACCCCCTCAGTATTTTCTGTGTCAATACAATTTTTTCTGTTTGCTTTCTGTCACTTGCAAGTCCTATCAGATCTCTGGACAGTGGCAGGTTGTAGGAGAAATTCCTGGAAACCTGAGAATAGCAGCAAGTTGTTTTTCTACTATCCATATACGCATCCCTCTGTGTCTGTGTGACACTTTCTCTGTAACACAATTTATGTTCAGGCTAGCTGGCCTGCTGCTACAGCTTTCAGTTAAAAAGCGCAGGAATTATCTGGTAGCTTTATCTTTCTGCAGCTGTTGTCTTTTTCCATCATACCTGACCCGCTGGTGCTGAAAGATGCCTCTTGTCTGAAAAGCTCTGATACTAACAAGAGAAACACTGACCTGTAGGATTTCAGAGGAAAAAGGCAAAAATGCTCCTTTCCAATATGTGGTGAAAACTTTTGTAGCACAGATGTAGGCTGTGCTAGAAAAGCCGTGTTTTGACCATATTTTTGGTTGTCATAGAAATTAGTTTATAGCTTAACTTCACAACTGTTTCTATTTTTACATAATTAGGGAACGCAACTATAACACACTACCACTTTTCTATAACAACATTTAGGAAGGACACAGATCAACATAATATAGCCATACATCACATTTTGTGTCCAAGGTATGCTGGTTGCTCTGCAGAGCCACCCTGAAATATAGCCTTGGAACTGTCAAAAGAGACACTGTTGTCATCAGTTCCTTGTAAATGAGTATGTGGCTGTAGTTATATAATTCCAAATGCTGATGATAAGGGGCTACAGATATATAAACTAAGCAGTCTCAGCACACTTCTTGTTCTACTCTTTCAAGCATAGACACTCTGAAGTCTGGTACCTGTTTTATTATCATTATCAATGTCATGCTGTGTAGAGATTTCTGTTACTTCAGAATTGTTATTTGTAAGCAAAAATAATTTGTTACCTGAGAGTTACCTTTGAAAAGAGACCTGTCATGCAGTTCAGTTGGTAGGAAGAAACTCACATAAACCATCAAAAATAAAGTTTAGAACAGCTTTATGTTTTGTCTTCAAATAAGAAAAATGATCAAGCACTCCACATTACTATAATGATATTTTTCAATCTATCAAGCTTTTGGAAGGTGTCACAGTATTCAGAAAGGCTGTTTCTACCACTGTTTCAGGGACATCTCTACCACCTCGAAGCACTACAGCCATACTTTAAACCTCTTGAACTTCCATTCAATAGTCCTCTGCACCAGTACTGCAGGGAATAGCAGAAAACAGATATTTAGTAGCTAGTCACTACAAAACAGAAAACAAAGCCAACTCTTCTACTGTACTAATGAACAAAAGTGCAGTCAGTTTCACATATGTATTAGAAAGGCAGTTAAATTTAGAAATCTAATAGTTTATTGTTTGTTGTGGTTTTTTTGCCATTAATTTCTCCTGATTATTAGCAGAAACAGAGCATCTGGTATAAACAGTTTCCATACAAGCCAAGAAGAATCAGATCACTGAGGTTTGGAGTAGAAGTGGGCTGACACCATATACACCAAAGAACTTTGGTGTGACACTTTCATGCTATGATCAGCTGGTGAGTTGTTAACATTCAAGATCACAGGCTCACAGAACTTTTAAGGTCACGGGTTATTGAAGGGGGAAGGGACCTCTGCAGATTGTCTAGTACTACCCTCTGTTGAAAGCAGGGTCAGATACCACAGGTTGCTTAGAGCTGTTTACAATTGGATGTGAGACTCCACAGCCTCCCTTTGCAACCTGTTCTAGTGTCTGACCACACACAATTAGTGGGTTTTTTACATTCAGGTGGAATTTCATCAGAGAATCTTGAATTCAGTGATTAGCAAGTCTGTTAGGCCTTTATGCAGCAGTACAGTAGAAACACATCCCAAAGAGTAAATTGCATTCAATTGCACTGAAGTTCAGTAAGAAGCACACCACATGGTTATCCAGCCCATTGTCAAATCAGGCAACTGTCTGCCATTCAAGCTCTCTTACTCTATTACATAATTCCATCAGGCAACTTATTGCCTATTATATACAAGCTCATTGTTTTGCATGATTTGCTGAAGCAAGAGTAAAGGCCTTCATCTGTATCAGCTTCAGCAACACCGCCAGCCAAGGTGTTATAAGTACTAATATGAACACTAAGCTGAGACAAATAACATTATCACAATGTTTTTTCTCTCCCTTGGCTAAGGTCTTACCTTCTGTTTTCCTTGTGTACAAAAGCTGGTCCAAGAAAGATTCCACCTTTTGAGAGAAAGTAGTATTAAAAGTAGAAAGCCTTGAATTCATCTACATGGACAGAGAAAGTATCTCATTTCATATACACAAGAATTCCAGAGAAGTGATTCTATCATCTTAAACATTCTCTTGAGTAATTCTACTTGCAGTAGCCCTATTTTCAGCACTCTGTCTTTAGTTCTATATCAGCCCTTTCTTAAAGTATATGCTCATGTTTCCAGTGGGATATTAGTATTAGGTTTATGAATGCAGGAAACTTACCTGGAATACATCGCTTTCCACATTTATCCCTAGCATGTATAAGTACTTCTAGAATGAAGTAGCTAAAAAATTAGAAAAGAAAAGCACCCTGAAGTGATTTTTATGTGGGGGTTTATATCAAGCAGGCAGAAGAAGATATGTCTGTTTTTCAGAAGGCTTTAACAAAGGTCTCAGGTGTTGCTTCACCTACCACTAAACCAAGTGAAACTAGAGATCCTTGTCAGGTCTACCAATATATCACTTTATATGGCCACACCTTAGTTCACTACTTATCAAAGTGGCTTGGGTTAGGTTAGAAACACAAGTATTTGGAGGTATTTAATTAATCAAACCACTTTAAAAAATGAGGCTAAAACCAATCCCAGATAGAGTGTGGAGTTTGGGGGAGTGCTGAGCTCCAACTAATGAAGCAGGGCAGTAATCTGTAGCAGTAGATCTCATTTAGCTTCTGCTGGAACTGGCTGCACTTGGAGCGCAGCACTTGTCCTTCCTTCTTGCTTTCAGACAAGAAGGTACCTGCAGTGCTGCCCCATTTCAGTGGCAGCTTTGCTAGATCAAGGGAACCCTCCACCCCTTTGACCATAAAAATCCTATGAAAAGTGTTGCCCTCAATTCTGCTGGCCCTGTCTTTCAAACAGTCACTCTCTCTTTCAGTTTGGGCAAACCAAAATGGACCTGCAAAGACCTGTCATTGAAAGTGAGTGGGCCTGGCTCATTTCAACACAGGCTGGGGAGCAACCAGACAAGTTACACTGGCAGAACCTGGGAGGTGGAAATCTATGCTGGGGGTGGTAATGAGCAGCTCTAAGGGTTCCCTAAGGTGTACACAGAAAACCAACATCCCTGAGCATCCTCCTTCATTCATGGAGAGAGTTGGGTGGCTATGAGACATACTTTATCCTGCTAAGGTTCTGAATCACCCTCTGAAATTGTAAAACCCACATAAATAGAAGAAAGTGATTCATAAATCTAGATTATTATTTTTCTGATGGTA